GCGATACATGAAGCTTTTGTCTTTGGTTACTCATGACCCAGGAGAAATTTGATAGTCGGCCCGTCTCCGAGGTCGTCAGGAGTCAGATTTAGATAAACTTGATTCTTGTTTTTCTTCAGGCAGAGATTACTTTTTTCCAGCCTTGAGTCCATCTGGGCATTCTGGTTCTGAAAATGCCTAATTGTGGGATTCCATTCCACTGATCCATGTTATGAGTCTCCCTCGAGGTCGAACCCACCACGCTGACGAGTCCCAGAATCCGCAGGTGGCCTGCGATTCTCATAAATCGCCTCCACCTTATGGTTAAGCTCATAAACCAGATGATTTAAAGTTCCTACAGCACGGACCAAACCTTCACACTGACTCGGAAGCTTTTCCATGGCTGAAACTGCTGCCGATGTCTTCTTCAAAAGTCGATAAAACAGAGCCCCGCCGATGCCAAAAAGCAGAGTCCCTGCTATCATAATTCCAAATATGTAAACGTCTTCAACATCCTCCTGAGACAGGACTGAGAGACACATCATCTGCCACACTCCCCATGGATCCATGACATACTCCACAGCGTGAGTCTCAGCTGGACATTGTCACTTTGATGAAAAAATCTTATCAATAGCGTTGAACGCCCACGATAACAAATCCATAATCTTCTTAATTTATGTTCGGGAGATGTGAACCAGGCACTTCAGACACACAGAGAGCAGAGCAGGAAGAAGGAAAAACGGGGGAGGGATGACAGAAGCTGCCACCTCGATGAGAGTCAGGGAGGAAAATAAATGTAGTTTTGCAAGTTGATGCAAACACCTCTAGAAGCCCAAATCTTTACTGATTACCCCCAAAATAAGACAGATTTCACTGTTACTTAAAGTTTCAAGTATTACTAAAATAATATTAACAGAAACTAGTTTGTTGTCTAATGTGAAACAAAGAAATTAACAAAAAATGGACTTACTGGATTGTCAATTCAATTGTTGTATTGTTAATTCTAGTGACTCAAAATGTCAGAAACGTTTTAATATATAGGGGCTACTACAGTGCCTTGCGAAAGTATTCGCCCCCCTTGAACTTTTCAACCTTTTGCCACATTTCAGGCTTCAAACAAAGATATAAAATTTTAATTTTTTGTGAAGAATCAACAACAAGTGGGATACAATCGTGAAGTGGAATGAAATTTATTGGATGTGTCGAACTTTTTTAACAAATAAAAAACTGAAAAGTGGGGCATGGATTATTATTGGGCCCCTTTACTTTCAGTGCAGCAAACTCACTCCAGAAGTTCAGTGAGGATCTATGAATGATCCAATGTTGTCCCAAATGACTGATGATGATAAATAGAATCCACCTGTGTGTAATCAAGTCTCCGTATAAATGCACCTGCTCTGTGATAGTCTCAGGGTTCTGTTTGAAGTGCAGAGAGCATCATGAAGACCAAGGAACACACCAGGCAAGTCCGAGATACTGTTGTGGAGAAGTTTAAAGATGGATTTGGATACAAAAAGATTTCCCAAGCTTTAAACATCACAAGGAGCACTGTGCAAGCAATCATATTGAAATGGAAGGAGTATCAGACCACTGCAAATCTACCAAGACCCGGCCGTCCCTCTAAACTTTCATCTCGAACAAGGAGAAAACTGATCAGAGATGCAGCCAAGAGGCCCATGATCACTCTGGATGAACTGCAGAGATCTACAGCTGAGGTGGGAGAGTCTGTGCATAGGACAACAATCAGTTGTACACTACACAAATCTGGTCTTTATGGAAGAGAGGCAAGAAGAAAGCCATTTCTCAAAGATATCCATAAAAAGTGTTGTTTAAAGTTTGACACAAGCACCTGGGAGACACCAAACATGTGGAAGAAGGTGCTCTGGTCACATGAAACCAAAATCCAGTTGTTTGGCCACAATGCAAAACGATGTTTGGCGTAAAAGCAACACAGCTCATCACCCTGAACACACCATCCCCACTGTCAAACATGGTGGTGGCAGCATCATGGTTTGGGCCTGCTTTTCGTCAGCAGGGACAGGGAAGATGGTCAGAATTGATGGGAAGATGGATGGGGCCAAATACAGGACCATTCTGGAAGAAAACCTGTTTGAGTCTGCAAGAGACCTGAGACTGGGATGGAGATTTATCTTCCAACAAGACAATGATCCAAAACATAAAGTTAAATCTACAATGGAATGGTTCACAAATAAACGTATCCAGGTGTTGGAATGGCCAAGTCAAAGTCCAGACCTGAATCCAATCGAGAACCTGTGGAAAGAGCTGAAGACTGCTGTTCACAAATGCTCTCCATCCAACCTCACGGAGCTCGAGCTGTTTTACAAGAAAGAATGGGCAACAATTTCAGTCTCTCCATGTGTAAAACTGATAGAGACAAACCCCAAGAGACTTGCAGCTGGAACTGCAGCAAAAGGCGGCGCTACAAAGTATTAATGCAAGGGGGTCGAAGAGTATTGCACGCCCCACTTTTCAGTTAGTTTGACACATCCAATAAATTTAATTCCACTTCACGATTGTGTCCCACTTGTTGATTCTTCACAAAAAAATTAAATTTTATATCTTTATGTTTGAAGCCTGAAATGTGGCAAAAGGTTGAAAAGTTCAAGGGGGCCGAATACTTTCGCATGGTACTGTATATCTTTAGATACTACTGGAGCTGGGAATGAAGTGAATTTCTATTTTTATTACTGGGAATTCATAAAAACTATATGCATATCAATCAAAATGTGTCCATTTTAAAAACAAAGATTATTGAAATGCAAGATATTTTCACGCTGAACTAAAGCACAAGTGTGATTTTAAAGTTTTCACTAAAAGTAGAAATGTTGCCTTGGACTGTTGATGTACAAATAGAACATTTCTAATGCGTATTTTAAAATAAAAACTGCACTAAAAGTGTGCAAACACTAAACCTGCAAATGAGTTATGACCCCTACCAGCTCCTGCAGTCTGGAATGAACTAGCTGCAGAAACAAACAGATCCAGTTCCTCCAATTTAAAACTAATGCTCTACTTTATTATAATTGTGATGCATGGAGGTGCATTTAGCATTGTTTTCAAAACAAATACCCCAATAATAACTTTTTAGACCTTAAGATTGGCTGAATTTGTAACAAATATTTGATGCTGCAAATCTGAGTAATTCATCATGTTTGTAATTTGGCAGACCTTTTAAATTTCAATCAGTTCAACAGTAAATAAAAAAAAAAGATGTAAAAGGCAGAAATTTATTCAATCTTTTTAAGAGATGGCAAGACACAGCTCATTTCTGTCTAAAACCCATTTGTAATCCATAAACATCTCTGTATGTGCACATTGCATCGACTCAGTAGATTTTAAGCAGAGAGAGATCATCTCGTCTTGCGCTGAAGAGGAAGAGGAGAATAAAACCTCTGCTGTGACAAAGTTGTCCCGATTAAAATTAGGAAATTCACATTAAAAACAAGACATTTCCCTTTTAAAAAAAGAACCCAGTCTTAGAAAAGTGGACTATAAATGGCCTGCAGAAATACTACATGCAGTGGTGTCGTCGTGCCCCTCCACCCCCCTCGTCAAATCACCCGATCATTGCCTGGGTGAGGAGTAGGACTGATCTGAAAGGACTCGTCATTTAAAAGTTACCACATGAAAGGAAAAAGACCCACGAAGGGCAAGCTCACTTTTCTGAACCCCCACCTTTCCAACATCAAGTGTGCACCACCTTTGCCCCCTCTTCCTCCTCCAGCACTTCCAAGACTTCAAGTATTCCCACCTCAAACTCCAAACCTTCAACTTCTTTCATTTCTTAGGTTTACAACATTTACTATCATTTAAGTGCACTCAACGTTCATCTATACATAGAAAAATAAAACGGTAACAATTATATCACTTTACATTTCAGGGTTTTCTTTATACAACCGTGGTGTCGAGTCATTTTATGCCATGGCATCATTTAACCCCGCCCCCCCCTGAGTGTAACGTTCAAGTTTAACCTTCTGCAACAGAGAAGCAAAAAAAAAAAAAAGGAACAACAACCTTGATTTGGTTATTTAAATAATAATATTAGAAATCGTTGATAATAGCAGTAATTATAATCTGAACTCGTTATGCCTTTCCACAGATCCTTGTGCTTCGAGGTGACGGGACGCAGAATATGTACAAGCTTCAGATTGGCCATGTGCCTCTGGCTTCAGACCGTTTGCTGGTGGAGAGTCACTGACGGCCTTCAGCCTGAAAAATAAAAATCATTAAGCATGCGTGATCATACCACACTACAACAGATTTATGACGAGACATGTCAACAACTAATGTCTTGACATGTCGTACGCTTTGATGGTATTGTTTTCTCTTAATCCAACCCTATAGGCAGAATCAGTCATGACAGCTGTGACAAGTGATTGACAGGCAGCTCAGGCTCGTGTGGCATCACATTCACCAACCTCAGTCTGAGACTCAGGATCCGGTGCCTCCAGCTGCCTCAGGAACCTGCAGCGATGCAGCTCCGGCATTTGTACAACTTTGGGTCGTGGGTGCGGATGTGATTCCGTACATTCCTCAGTCTGAAGAACGTTTTGCTGCAGAGCTACAGTGAAACGGATATTTAGCTACATTTTGTTGTGGTCGTAGCAGTTATTCACAACACATACCCTGAGCGCCAACACATCTTGTGAGATCTTGCAACGTTGCAAGAGCTTGAGCACGTTTGTACTCTAGGTTTGACCAAAATGCCTATAAATCCATCACTTCTCAACATCTCAAGCATAAAGGCAGCACACAATATGAATTAGTACAAACAATGCTAGATATTTCATTATTAAAAAGAATGCTAACAATGACTTTACTTCAGTGGTTAAATGGTTGCAAAATAAAGATTGTAGGAGATGCTAATCACAGAGGAATAGATAAAGGGAAATGTTGCTGTTCTCAGCTTCATATGTAGTTCTGGATATTTAAACAACAAAATAATTTTTAATTATTGATCCAAAGACAGTCCATGTAGAGTAGAGCTGTGTGACATTTCAATCGCAGGCATTCTTTTAAGTTAATGTTTTACTAAACGTTGAACTGATAAATGTTGGACCTTGTGGATCTGTTTTAGTTTATCTTGTTTCCTTTTCCCCCTCATTTGTTTTTGTAAAGATGTAAAACAATTTTAAAGTCATTTATTTGCTTAACATATATAGAAGAACTTGACTACAACGTTCTCCTTTTTGTTTTCTAATAATGCCATTTTAAAAGGCCTGTCCATATCTTAAAACTACAAAAAAGTAAAAGAAAACATCTTGATATTTAAGAAATTTGGCATGATGCACTTGATTTTACCCATTTTGTCACGTTACTGGCATTTTTTTTTTTTTTAATTTGGCTCAGCTAAAGTGAAACAGGAAGTGACATCAATGGGAAACTGTTCTTGGTTAAACAATATTATTTTATTATCCGACTCTTTGTCTCTCTCTGACACCGACTCAAAATAATCTAAAGAAGCATCAGATTCTTCACTGCCATTTGTGTCAGTCATTGTAACAATGCTATATTCACATGCAGGCGTTCCCCTTTGTCATCACTTCCTGTTACTGCACATTCGAGTACTTCAACAACTGGTCAGCTCAGTGGTGTGAAATTTTACATGCAGTAAAGAACACATTTTATTTTCACAAAAATGCATAAAAACTTTATTACAAAAATGATGTCACAGGCACTTTAATATAAAAACTGTTGTCCATTTTGAAAAATAAAATGTTAAAAGTGAAATTGTGACCTCTATATCTATCTATCTATCTATCTATCTATCTATCTCTTAGACAGACAGATATATATTTCTTTTATAAGGCTTTATATCTATCTATCTATCTATCTATCTATCTATCTATCTATCTATCTATCTCTTAGACAGACAGATATATATTTCTTTTATAAGGCTTTATAAACCTTTCCCACACTCTTGTAATGTTCTAACTGTTGTAAATGCTCTATAAGAGCACAGCAAAAGAGAACAGACAGACTGATGTTACAGTTACTGAGCCTGGGGGTGGACTGGCCATGGGGAGCACCGGGACATTTCCCAGTGGCTTGGCACACTCAGTGATCGCCGAGGGGGACTAAAGGCATGGTTTGGGCCGCGCTTGATTATTTAAAATAAACAATTCACTCCACTCAATAAGGTGTCTGTCTACCTTACTGAAGCTCCCACAGTGGTGATGGGGAAAGACAGACCCCACCCCCTGGCCCGTCCTCTCTCTTTTTGAGGCCGTCTGTCACAGCAGAGCGGGGACACACAACAGGTTGTGCACCCACCTGTTGTGTTTCGCTGCTCTGCTCTAACAGAGAAATGAGCAGTGGTGGGATGTAACGAAGTACAAGTACTTCGTTACTGTACTTAAGTACATTTTTCATGTATCTGTACTTTACTTAAATAAGAGTTAAACATGGGTACTTGCAACTTTTACTCCACTACATTCTATATTGAGTATTTGTACTTTCTACTACACTACATTTCTATAATTTGTTGAGTTACAAGTTACATTCACGTTGTGTTTTTGTGATTTGTTCGTTAGTTTGAAAGTAACTGATGGCCAGAGGGGAGTTGGTCCAAAAGTGGACAGGTAACGTTAGACCCGCTTTCAAGAAGAGCTGGGCCAGTGATGTATATTATATACATCATTGAGCTGGGCGCACCCACAGCACCACTAACACACCCAAAATGTATTCCACCGTGGAGAGTCAGCCAGAAGATACGCTCCACTCATGGCCTCATGACAATAAAGGACAATGAATGAAAATAAAGAATATCTGAATCTTATTGAAAGACTAATGAAAGACTATCCAGTACAGTAGGACAGATTCTCTCTCCCAAAAGAGCCAGACTGGACTCAAAAAAAACTTTGAAAACCAACTTCTTCTGAACTTGAACAAGAAATTCTTGCTGCAATATTAAAATGTGTCAGTTCATGATGTTAGGAGACGAGAGATGTCTCCAAATGGTTCGACACTCGGGTCCATGTTTTGAAAATGGTGTCAGGAAGTTAAAACATTGTTCACTATTGACCCATTACAAGGTCGACTGGACAGTATTTCAACTAGAGTTGATGACAAACTGGAGCTGAAATGATCAGAGCCTGTTCCTTTGTTGTGTCTAATGCTCCTTTTTTCTGTCAGACAACTTTTACTTAAATGTGTTTATTTCAGTTAAAATGACACATTGGTTTTGCTTTGTGTTAAACAAAAACTTTCAAAGGTAAAATCATTCCTCTCTTATTTTGCTTAATGTCATTTAACTCTGCAGGTCATTCCTGAAATTCTGCTGCACAGAATCACAAGTCCAAGTGTAAACTGTGTCACAGAGTAAACACAAGAAAAACGTATTATCTGCAGCATCGTTCATTAAAATGGCTCAACACTATTAACGTATTACAGAAAATATACATATAGGCACACTTAATGATATTGTAGACCATTGCATTAAGTAATACATTCAGCAAGTACTTTTACTTTTAATACTGTATTTTTAAAAGCAAGTACTTATTTACTTTTACTTAAGTAAAAATGTTAATGTGGTACTTCTACTTTTACTAGAGTACATTTTTGTCCGTTTATTTGTACTTTTACTTAAGTACAGTGTTTGAGTACTTTCTCCACCACTGGAAAGGAGGGCCCCGCCCCCTCGGCGATCACAGAGCAGGCCAGGCCACCGGGAAATAATGTGTAAAATCTTAAAGTTGAAAACCTGCGAAAGAGTGAGTTTGCGAAAGTCGAACCGCACAGTATCAAGGGACTACTGCATATCCATTTAAGTTTATTAGTCACTAGCTTCACCATTCCTTTCATCTGCAGTGTTTTTTAGGCAGAATAAATTTTCATTACATAAAACGTAGGGTTCTACAACCTAATATAGGATTTTTAAAATTTTATTTTATTATTTGAGACTGGAAAATCAAAAAATCTTGAGTGAATTGGGCCAATCTTCCAGGCTGAAAATGAATTCCTCAATAGTTGAGCTGGTCTGTAATTAGGCACCAGCTCCATCCTGTCTGTCAAAAAGGCAAGTAAGGTGGCTCTACTTCCTAAAAGTCTAGCGCTTACCGGACAAGGCCAGTGCTTTCCATCGACGTGCCTTAGCTGATGCATAGTTAGAGCATCGCAGTCCTTGTAGGTGGCTGAGCACTGCAGACAGGCGTGGGCTGCCTTCGGAACTTTGGGGGCTTGACTGCGAGGCCCTCGAAGTTGCTTTAATCGTGCTCGATGTACAGCATCCAGGATGATGCAGCTTCTGCTGCTCACAGCAATGACTTTACTTTGTCTCTAGATATAACAAGCAAAGAGAAAATCAGGGTTAGTTTAGACAAATGTTTAAAACATTAGTCATTGAGGATATTTAGGAATGCCCATTCATTTGTGATTAATGGTGCTATAAATTTCACAGTAAATAATATTTAACATTAAACAATTATCTACCTTTGGCGTGGTCTGGGTAGTCTTTGACCCAGCACATTTGTTCAGGAGTAAACTGGTCTTTTGGGGCTTCTGCCTGGGTCTTTGAGTTCGGCCTTGGGTCTCCCTTCTCTCCCTTTTCACCACAGGGAGGATGGGTGGCCCTCTGGCTCTCAGTGTCCTGTGGGGAGACTGTTCAGTCTCAAATTTCTCTCTGACCTGTGACACAGACCGTGTCAAGCAGATATCGACACTCTCCTCCTCTTTCTTCAGCGCTGCCATAGGCCCCCCTACTGGTCGACAGAAGTTGAACAGAAATCCCGAGTCCAACAGTTTGATGGGGGGCTTGCTCTGACGTTTACCCAGGTCTGGTGAGGGAGGACCAGGGAACTGTCCAACTGGCACAGGTTCAGCTGGTTCCTCTTTAATGGCTTTGTACAAATTATGACTATAAATAGACGGTGGAGGTGAATGCTCTGAAAACTGAAGCCCGTCAGGTTCGTTATCTTTCACTTTTGGTCTAGTGGCATGGACTCCCTTCAGACACTTCCTTCGGTTCATAGGTGTCGTCTTTTCTGTGTCTTTTGTGGAGCTCCGTCGGAGTTTGGCTTTTGTGACCAACCGGCTGCTGTTATAATGCAGTGTTTTCACCGTGTCTGCAGAGACCTTTCTTCTGAACGATGTCCTCCGTGAAGGTGGAGAATCTGCAGGCATGTGATCAAGGTGATTCTCTGATGACAGGGAGTATTCAGCTGGTTCTGCTTTGATTTTGACTACGTTTCTCGGAAAGGTATTTTTGGTGCTGCGCCTCAGAGGCTGCTGGGTGTGACGGCAGGCACCATCACCCTTCCTCACAGACCGTCTGAGTTCCCTCACCCCAAAGTCAGGCCTAGATGTTTGCTGGAACAAGTCTGGCAGTACCCCTTTGCTTCTCAAGCTTCTGTCAGTGGGAGGAACACGCTGATGGACACTTTTTCGCCTCTTAGCAGGAATCTGCTTCGTACTAGCTGACACCAAAGCCTTGGTTTTGACAGACTTATTGAGGAGTCGAGTGTTGACAGGGTTACAAAGAGGAAGTGACAGCGTCATATCTTCATACGATAGTCCCAAGGATGACGTACGAGGTTTTCGCCGCTTGGTCAGTGAGTAGTTGTTGGCCTTCAACTTTCTTAGTCGTTTCTTTTGCCTCCAGCCAATAAGATCCTCTGGTCTAGGAAGCAGAGCAGTCCTCTGAAGCCCAAGGACATTCATAAGCTTGTACTTCTCCTGTGCCCTTTCATAATCCTCTTCATCCTCTCCAACCTCTACTACTTCCTGTTTGACCCGCACCGTGCTACAGGTGGTACCTGGCCTCGACCTGGATGTGCATGAGAGCTGGGTAACAGAGTGAGATTTTTTGCATCTTCGAGGTGTCTCTGGCATGGGCAGCAATCTCTGAACCTCTCTGGCAGCACCAGGAGAGGAGCGGAGAAGACGGGGGCTTGATGAAGATATGGGTGAGTAATTCTGTGACTGAGAGGTGGCTATGCCATGACGGGGTGTGTTACCTTTTTTGGATGAGGGGGATTTAAAATCCATGAGCTTCATCCTATGTGAAGGACTTAGAGGGAGGCCGTTTTGGTCTTGGGGTTTTGGCAGTCTGCGCAAATTACGCCTGGGACTTTCGTGTATAGACTCATCTGAAGCATCCAGCGTTAAACTAAAGCTTTCATTAGTGTTGTCCAATTCTAAAATCCCTTCATTTGCTTTGTGATGACGCTCACAGCATGAACCAGCACAGGGTGAGGTGAAGAGCTTGCCAGAATGGCGCTGCTGTTCCTGTTCTTTGAGAAGAGCCGAGCAGGCTTCCACTGCAGGCCACATGCCCAGGTGTCGAGCCATAGCGCAGACTTCTGGTAGGTTCTCCTGATGAACACAAAGAGTGGAGGAGTAGGAGAAGTCCAGCAGAGACAGAAGACTATCCTCACTAAAACCTGAGAGAAAAAAAACAAAACACAATGTTAGTATCAGAAAGACGCAAGTTTAAATATATATACACCGGTACTGTATGTGTAACAGGGCTACAATGGTGTGTCCAATTTATGATTAGGTATAATAGGAAAAAAATGTTTTTAAAAAAATTAGTGTTTTTTAATTTTTTAATTGGAGAATAATTCTCCCTGAAGCAGAGACAGAAAACCACACCACCCAGGTTAGTGCAGAGGCTGTAACGTAGCAAGTCATGTAAAGCAAAGCAGGATTTATCAGCTGATAACTTCACTAAATGCTTTTAAAAGTCAGTCTTTTTCATTCAACCTGAACTTAAACACTGTCCTGGAGGCCATATGTCAAAGAAACGGTTTGATATACTCCAGAAAATTAGTAATTTGGTTAAAATATTACAAAATAAATAAATAAAATCCCTAAAAACAAAAAACAAAAATAAATAAAAGTGTTTTCTTCAATTAGTTTGACACAGGCAAAATTCAAAATAGAAAGCTAAATTCAAAATAGAAAAGCTATACAAAATTGAATATTGCACAAAATAAATAAAATGTCAAACACTCACACCTGCTTCTAAGCAAGCCAATGTAGAAAACATCAGTGATATCGAGTAAATACACAAATGCAGAGCATTATATGGTGTACCAGTAATTACTTGCCATACAGGCTGTGGATAATGAGCAGGAAACTTTCACACAGCTGATTTGAAACAAAACAGGCAAGTCTTCAGGCTCCTGTGTTATTCTCAACTTGCTACGCATGGTTTACTGTGGAGAGCTTTAAATGGCATCTTCCTCTGAACCTCGTCTGTCATGGCAGTTAACAAAGAGCATGTCATTAAACTATGTGAGAGCAGTGATCATCTGATGTATTGTTTAATTCAATGTACCAAACATCTGTATTGAACTGTCACAGTACAGATACATGTACTATTACACCTCTAGTGTCCAATATATGGACCAAATGAAAAGTTCAAACAAATATAATAGGACCATCTGGATCCTGCAATCAGGATTCTTCAATGCTAAATTTGTCTTCTACATCAAAAAGTGCAAGTGTTACAAGCCAGGTCTCCTAGAAATCTCTGAACCCATTTCAAATTAACTCTTCACATGGATGCAAATTTAGATTGTTTTTACTCAGTCATTGATAAATAGATATTACAGCTTGTAAAAAAATACTAAAAGACAATTAAAGACAATTGCAAAAAAATCATATATATTTTATATATGTATGCTAAATCTTCTGTAACGGCTGTTAGAGAATCCAGATGCCTGGATAGAAGTACTAATTTATGCGTCTTAAATTGTGTTAATGAAATTTTTGTAAACACAAGCAAAGACATGAGAACAAATCATGTTTGTGACAGGCTGCTTATAACAAAATGCCTAAAGATACAATTTAAAATTGTTCTTTTCTTATGTTGTTCGTTTTGCATTGTTGGAACATGGTTCATTGAGTTATAAATATTCAGTGTTAAGTATCTTAAACAAAGCATTCCTCTGAGAATGTCAGAAATAAGGACTGCATTAAAAATGTATAGGAGAAAAAAAAAACAAAGAAAAAAGATCTTGCTTTAAATATTACAAGAGGGGAAAAAATGAAGCTAGCAAAATGTTTGCCCTATCTTCTATTTGATTTTATGCTGTTTGATCCACAGTATCATTTTAGCCGTCACCAACGATCTGTTGGGTCTAAAAACAGAAAAGGTAAGATGGCAACTAAAATTAACTTGTAAAGGTTTGAGGAAATTATAGTATTCTTAACTTTTCTCATGAACTCTATTAAAACAACATTCAAACAGACATGCATTCAAACTTTTGCGATCAAAATAGAGCTTCTGCTCTTTATTCAGTGTTGCCATGGTGATTCACAGCATCTTACAACTGCTGGTGAGGTCCTTTTTTTTATACCTTCATCAACACTGATGCTTAGCTCAGATCATGCTCAGAACTGGATGCACTCATTCTGATTTCATTCTTGTAACATAATGTGCACCGTCTAACTATATTACAATTGAAATGCTTAGAACAAGTTTAATCAGCTATACTGGAAGGTTCAATGGGCCCATAAGTTCAACAACCTCAACTTTAGTGGTGAGTTTTTGTTTCTGATCTTACCCGTGAGGTCTATGTTTGTTTTCTTGCTTGCGTCCATTTCAGTGAAGAGTTCTTGAAAGTGATCGCTGACGGCTGCCAGAACAGCTCTGTGGGCCAAGAACGACTGCCCTGTCGTTTGCAGGGTGATGTCACAGAAAAGCCCCGCCTCCCTTTGACTTCTTAGCTTGCTCAGCATGTCGGCGCCGTGTGATGCCATGGTCTTTGTGACACATCTTCTCCCATTAAACTCCTGAGAGGCAAAGACAAATAAAAAAAGGCATCGTTGCAGAAGGCAATGTAACGTGCGACTGATCGGGGAGAAGCGTGAGCAAAAAAATTACGGTAAGTGAGAATGAGCTAAAATGTGTGAATACAAAAATGTGCGAGATGCAGAAAAATTAAGCACTGGTAAAAAACCCTGAGGAAATCAAAAGACTGGCAGGAAGAAAATGGCCTCAGTGGTCTTCCATCTCAAGAATCCTCTCTCACCTCTGACTTTTTACTGCGCTGACTCTGACATTCTGGACAGCTGAGGACAAAGTCTCTGATCTGGAAGTACATTCCTGTGGGGACAAAAAAAAAAAAAACAGTCACAGAAACCTTAGAACGTATGGCAAAAAGATAAACAACTTAAAGAGCCAAGAGAGAGAAAAGGGGGAACAAGTTCAGGAGCACTAAACAGTTTGGGCTTCACACCTTAATGGACGCCACAACATAAAATAAATCAAGTCAAAAGGACAATGACAGATTATAAAACAAATAGGATCAACAAAAAGACACGAGCGCCCCAAACATGTCTGGAGGACAGACACGCAGGCTAAACAATCAGCAACAATATAAATACTGTTCGCTTTAATTTTAGTCTTTCCTACTTTTTGTAATCTTACGCCATTTTCTTTTATTGCACATGCTCAAGTGCAACTTCAAATTTTCTGAGACAAGACCAGGGGGCCTCAGACTCCACCTTGTGGGATCTTTGCCCTCATGGCCTGCTCAGGAACTAACAAATGATTTCTAAAGTGTGAGCACAATTGATACTTTATCTAAAAAAAAGGGATACAATGACACTCTCCAAGTTAGATTTAGGCAGGCAGTGGAGTTGAAAGATGACATCAGACTATCAGGAGCAGTCCTGTAATGTTATCCTGGGAGGTCAGATGTACCTACCCTCCCACCAGTAGTTTTCAGCCACGCATTTATAGGTCTCCTCCAGGGACAGGTGGCGCTGACCAGGTCTCCTCCTGTGGAAGGTGGAGATGGCCTCATGTCTTCGGTCCACGTTCAAAACCTCCCGGTAGTTGATGAAGCCCCTCTCCAGCTTCTTGCGGTACAGCAATCCATCCATCACCTCGAAGTTTGACGACCACCCTGCGTGGGGTCCATCCCCACAGGAGCTCGACGCACAAAACGTCTCCACGCATGCGTAACGCTCGTTGACGCGCGTGCAGTCTTTGGCCATTTCCCCACTGGTTTTGTACTGAAGATGCAACTATGACTGGTCTGAGATGGAAGCCCTTTCGTTCGAACTGGTAATCCCTCCCCACCCAGGAGGGGAGCCAAACTTTACCCACCGACCCGACACAAAGTCCACCAGGATGTACTACTACTGACAGCACCACCCAGCCCGCGACTCCCTGATGTCTTAACCAAATCAAAACGACAGAATCACAAGTTGACTAAGATTTCCCATCTTACATAAACTTACTGTGGGCTCCGATAATGAAACTGAACGCGAGCATCACTTCTCATAAACACTGTGGCAAACATGTCAGCAGAGTCACACTTCCTGTCCCGAAACGCATTTCTCCATTTTCACGAGCTATAACAAATAATACAACATGCTCGACTCGTACATTCAAGTGTGTACAATAAACGCGGGCAGCAGAGTATCGCGCCAACTACACGACAAGTGATGGAAAAGTCACTAGAGGACCACGTAAACAGGCTTCACCGTCAGTGTCCCGCCGACAGCCCGTCTTCCATGGAATCCAGGGAACGGGAGTGGCCTCTGGGACTGGATGACGGCAGGCGGCTTCACCTCCGGCGTTAACTTGTGATTTCTTTCAAGCCAACTCAAGTCGGAAGCAACATGATGACGCAGCTATCAGCCAGGCATCGCCGCTTGAACGACCTAAAAGCGAGGAGGTCTCCCCCCCACTCCGAACGGCTCGAAACGTCACAAATAACCGCCAAATCCCCCTCGAAACCCAGCCAACACGCTCTGGTTTACGCACCCGACATAATTCGCCCCACTCTTGCTGCCGCAAGCCTAGACTGGTGACCAAACAGTCCAATTTTTCTAACTCGTAACCTTCTGTTTGTTGCTAATCAGGAGACTAACCGAGACAACTGCTCCCCGCCTTCACACAAAGACTATTAGCAGAAGCTTTAAAGAGCCTTCGCTTCACGGTTTCTGATTGGCTGACGCAGCTGCCACTCAAGTTCGTTCTCTTCACTTAGCAGCAAGGTAGGTTGTTCAGTCACGATGCCTGTCTAAAAGTGCCAATTTACTGTACTAGCTGTTCAATTCAGTTAAGCTTAATATATCACAATTTTATGAGCTAATAAAATACAAAATCTGATATATAACGGTGTAAAGTATTATTTCCTTTTACAATACACTTTAAATTATTTAGCTGGGACACATATTATTGAATTAACATATCAACATGTTATAATTTACACATATTTCAGTGAAGAATTAATTTTGATTGTATGGTTTGCGGGATCACTTTTATGTAGGAAAACCATAACATTTGAACCTTAAATAAGCTGGTTAAGAAGTCCATAAAAATGTTCAGAAACCATAACTTTCATTTCCAGAGTATGCCCCCTTTTTTTAAAACTGTATGGACTCATGATACAAAGGATACCCTGGAACAAGACCACATGAGCTTTTAGTTTTATAAGAATTAAGGTTTTTTAACTATTCAGTCCCAGTGAGTGAGCCCCTTTCATTTATTTTATATACAAATGGTTGTCGCAGCCAGTATCCACTGCGTCCAATTTTAAATTTTGCTGATGACTCGGTCATCCCCTGTCCCTTCTCAGCAGTGATGACCCAGACCCTGGGCCTGTGGTCAGGGACTTCACCGAATTGTGAGTCATCCTTTTTAAACTTACATGTTTCTAAGGCAAAAGAAATGGTCATTGATTTTATATAATACTCTTCAGTTGCTGCTCCTGTAGTCATTAATGGTGAAGCTGTTGAGGTGGTGCATCACTATTAATGGGAACTGTTCTTAATGACAACCTGACCTTTGACCCCATGTGAACTCACCTTGTAAGAAGGCCCATCAGAGAACGTATTTTTATGGGAAGCTCTGTGGTTTAAATGTTGATTCAACTTTTATGAGAATGTTTTATTGAGTCTCTTGGAATTTTCACTTTCATCTGTTGGTTTAGTTTTTAACTTGTAAAATCAAGAATAAACTCTCGGGGATTGTCAAGATGTGCAGCAAAACTGCTGCTATAGCCCTACAGAGCCTCACTGACCTACACAAGGTGAGGTCAGTGATAAGGCCAGGCTGATTCTGGCAGATCCTGATCACTCACTCCATGGTGAGCTCAGGCTGCTTCCATGTGGACACAGGTATCTGCTGCCCAGAAGAACAGATTGAAAAACTCATTCATCCCTCTAGCGATCAGGCTTCTCAGTGAACAGTGATTTCTGTAGTTATTTTAATGTCTTGTCTAGTATGGACGTTTTATGTGTCTACTGTGAAATAAATTGCCCCATGGGGATAATAAAGATACTTGAACTTGGAAGATACACTGCCTGGCCAAGAAAAAAAAAAACTCACCATCAAAAAAAGGTCACGCACTAATATTTTGTTGGACCATCTTTAGCTTAGATTACAGCGTGCTTTCACTGTGGCATTGTTTCGATAAGCTTCTGCCATGTCACAAGATCTATTTCCATCCAGTGTTGCATTAATTTTCACCAAGATCTTGCATTGATGACTAGGCACTAGGCATGATGGGTGCATCACTTCACCTGCCTCTCTTCTTACCCTGATGCACCCATCACTCTGGAACAGGGTAAATCTGGACTCATCAGACCACATGACCTTCAGTCCCAATCCCCTGAGTTCCCTTCACATTGTGTGTGTGTGTGTGTGTGTGTGTGTGTGTGTGTGTGTGTGTGTGTGAAAATGCTCTTACTTTCACTATTAAACATAGCCCTGAGTGCTACTTTGATTTGGTTTCACCAAACGTTTAAGTGATCATCGATCACGATCATTCAGGATTTTTTTCCCCACTTTCCTTCCAGTTTTTAATAATGCGTTGGACAGTTCTTAACCCAATTTTAGTAGTTTCTTCAATCTCCTTAGATGTTTTCTCTGCTTGATGCCAATGATTTGACCCTTCTCAAACAGACCGACATCTTTCCACGACCAGACGACGTGTCTTTCAACATGGTTGTTTAAGAAATGAGAAGCAACTCATTGCACCAGTTGGGGTTAAATAACGTTGCAGCTGAAAGATAATCGCCCGTGCAGTAATTATGCAATAGGATGTTCATACCTATTTGCTTAGTTAAATCCAAGTGGCAACTTTTTTTTGGCCAGGCAGTGTATGAAGGCAGCCGGCCCAAATAAGCCTTATAAATCCAAATACACCAGCACCCCAGTCTGTGTGCAAAACAATATAGTTTTCAGATTTCATTTTAAATCGGAATACCTCAATAAACTGAAGTCAAACATTAATAGATGGCTTTAAAGGTTTAGCAAAAATTCTCTGAAATAGTGATAGACTGGAGGAAAAACAATATTACACATACAAACCGGATTCCAAAAAAGTTGGGACACTAAACAAATTGTGAATAAAAACTGAATGCAATGATGTGGAGGTGCCAACATCTAATATTTTATTCAGAAAAGAACACAAATCACAGATCAAAAGTTTAAACTGAGAGAATGTATCATTTTAAGGGAAAATCTGTTGTTTCCAAATTTCATGGCGTCAACAAATCCCAAAAAAGTTGGGACAAGTCCATTTTTACCACTGTGTGGCATCCCCCCTTCTTCTTACAACACTCAACAGACGTCTGGGGACAGAGGAGACCAGTTTCTCAAGTTTAGAAATAGGAATGCTCTCCCATTCATGTCTAATACAGGCCTCTAATGTTCAATCGTCTTGGGCCTTCTTTGTCGCACCTTCCTCTTTATGATGCGCCAAATGTTCTCTATAGGTGAAAGATCTGGACTGCAGGCTGGCCATTTCAGTACCCGGATACTTCTCCTACGTAGCCATGATGTTGTGATTGCTGCAGAATGTGGTCTGGCATTATCGTGTTGAAAAATGCAGGGACTTCCCTGAAAGAGATGACGTCTAGATGGGAGCATATGTTGTTCTAGAACCTGAACATAGTTCTCTGCATTAATGGTGCCTTTCCAGACATGCAAGCTGCCCATGCCACAAGCGCTCATGCAACCCCATACCATCAGTGATGCAGGATTCTGAACGGAGCGTTGATAACAACTTGGGCTATCCTTGTCCTCTCTGGTCCGGATGACATGGCGTCCCAGTGTTCCATAAAGAACTTCAAATCGTGACTCATCTGACCACAGAACAGTCTTCCATTTTGCCACACTTGATTTTAAATGACCCCTGGCCCAGTGCAAACGTCTGAGCTTGTGGAGCTTGCTTAGAAATGGCTTCCTCTTTGCACTGTAGAGTTTCAGCTGGCAACGGCGCATGGCACGGTGGATTGTGTTCACTGACAATGCTTTCTGGAAGTATTCCTGAGCCCATTCTGTTATTTCCTTGACAGTGGCATTCCTGTTTGAGGTGCAGTGACGTTTAATGACCCTGAGATCACGAGCATCCAGTAGAGTTTTACGGCCTTGACCCTTATGCACAGCGATTGTCCCAGATTCTCTGAATCTTTTGATGATGTTATGCACGGTTGATGATGATAACTTAAAAGTCTTTGCTATTTTACGCTGGGTAACACCATTCTGGTATTGCTGCACTATCTTTCTGCGCAACAATGGTGGAATTGGTGATCCTCTTACCATCTTGGCTTCTGAGAGACACTGACACTCTGAGAAGCTCTTTTTATACCCAATCATGTTGTCAGTTGACCTAATTAGTGTTAATTGGTCTTCCAGCTGTTCATTATATGCTCAATTTCCTTTTTCCAGCCACTTATTGCTACTTGTCCCAACTTTTTTGGGATTTGTTGACACTGTGAAATTTTGAGTCAACATATTTTTCATTTAAAATGTTACATTTACTCAAATTAAACTTTTGATCTGTCATCTATGTTATATTACAAATAAAATATTGACATTTGCCATCTCCACATCATCGCATTCAGTTTTTACTCACAATTTGTTTAGTGTCCCAACTTCTTTGGAATCCAGTTTGTATAATGTATATATATATATATATATATATATATATATA